ATGTCACACCTGTTTCTCAGCCATTCAGGATCATTAAGAAGTCTGTGATGCACTTATATGGCCTGTGCACAACAACGGGTGCCACGACTCCTGTGAGCGTATCTTCACTGATGACAACTGAGTCGTGCTGGAAGGCGGGTCACTCGTGTACGTGATATCAGCAATAGTTCGATAACAATAATTTCCCAAAAAATGTTATGTGATCCGTGTATTATCTTAATACTTATTCTTAATCAAACAGATTATAAAACAGTTTAGCAGAAAGTCAGTTAACCTAATATCACTATTTCTCTAAATTTGAAAATACGGCAGTTGGTAAATATGTATATTGATGTACTGGCTACATTGCCAGGTTATACCATCCAGATAAGGACTTGCAGTGGCGATATCGAGTCATTCGCAAATGTGTACGTGATAGCTATCAACAACAACAACCTTTGTTTCACTCCAAGGGACCACCAGCTGTCGTACGTGATCAATACAAATATATTTATAACATGACACAGCAAGATGACAAGTCTATAAACACAATGAGTTCATTCTTCTTGCATAAACTGTACCGTTTAGAATATTTTTCGGAAAAAGACATTGAGCTCTACAGATGATGTTACTAGTGTTACACTGTTTCAGCAAATATGTTATGCAGTAACAGTAAGTGACCTTGTTGGCCATCATATCAATTGTTTTTAAGGGTAATTAAGACCAATGAAGTATTTATCTGTGTGGACATGTTGACCCAGTTATTGCCAAAGTAAAATAAATACAAAGGATCTGTCTTCAACTAAAGTGAGTATTCAGGAATACGATGAACTTCGGTAACTTTATGATAGCAGATATGCTTTGGTGTTCAATAGTTCAGCAAACTTACAGATGTTTTACCAATCGTAAACATATTTATCAACCAAAATGGCTCGGTTGTTGGATAGCGATCTACAACGGAACAGGTGGTGGAAGTCGTCACCAAGTGCATTTGTATCACGGTGTACAATAGCGGTGTGCGCGAGGTATACCCGCCCATCTCCCTATTGGCTCAATTGGCAACCCCCACTTCTCCATGACTGGATAAACTGAAGGCGGAGGGTTTTCTCACGTTGAAATAAAATGGACGCTTTGTAATAATCATCAGAGAAATGAAACATATACGTAAGACCACAGTTACTAAACATACTTTTGATATGATTAAGTTGTAGAAAGGGCGTACCCTTTATTTTCTTGTGATTTATCATTTATTTAAGATAAATGACGCGAAGTTATGTTTTGTGTTGTGAAGGCTGCATCAGTTTAACCAATAACTTATCATTCTTTCTGCGATTTTAACACTTCGCGATTCTGGCCCGAGTTCGCCATATACCATGAAGCTTGGCGTGGACCGTCATATACCTTCAGTTAGTGTAAGAATTGTCAAGTGAACCTTTTAGATTATTTCGGTGTTATGAACGCCTCATATTTCAGAACCATATAGTAAAATAGGGACAACAAATGTATCAAACATTTCGATAAGGCAACCTAGTGGTAAATGTAAATTTCTGGCACGTTTTAATAGACTCATTGTAGCTTCCTGCCGATTTCAGCAATATGAACATAAGTATTCATTTTTAACGGGATAAATAATTATAGCTGTCACTACCGTCCATCGGATACTAGCCGAAGTTATATTTGTCTTTACATCTGGACCTAACCCAGAGATGACTATTTTCGTTTTTCTATGTTAACGTCTAGTTTCCAGTCATTACATTGCTTAAGAAACGTATTGAGTGTATCCTGTAGCTGGTGTCTGCTTTCTCTAAACAGTACTGTTTCACCAGCCTATAGAAGTAAAATGGGTTTGATAAAAACTAACGATTCATACCCGTTATAGTATTCTAAATGAATTCTGTCACAATTAGTATCAATATGATATTGTTCTAATCATTTAAGTATACAGCAAATAAGAGTGGTGACTGATGTTCTCCTTGTCTAACGCCATATAAGCAAGGGAAAAATCGGACATATTATCATTTATCATCACACAGGATTTAATCATTCTGTACATATTTGTGATAAGATCATATATTTTTGCCTTTAACCACGTGTCCAAGCGTTTTGGTTCGAAACCCAACTCTCCATATTTTGTCGAGCGCCTGAGAAGAATTACTTAACGCACAATACAGTTTCTTGGACTTTTGAGATTGGAATAAAGTTTGCAGAATAAACAGATTATCTATTGCATAGAACACCTGTCGAAATCCAGCCTGTATATGAGAAATCTTATTATATTGTTTATAATACATACTTGTAAGACGTTTCCGAGCAACTAAAACTAGAAGTTGGCCTGTATGAGCTGGGCTCAGTGCAGTCGCCCTATCTTTTGTACATAGGCCTAATTATTCCAGTTAGCCAAATATCTGGTAGTATGCCAGTGGTAAAAATAAAGTTAAAAAATTCAATGTAGAAAGGTAATGATTTTGAAACGGAAGAAATTAAATATTCATTGTAAAGCAGTCTAGTCCAGAAGACTTCCTCGTGTTTAATCCCTTAATGGCTGTCAGTATTTCTGTCTCTGCAATGCCACTATTCAAAACCTCATCATTAAAATCTGGGACGTCTTCTTCATCGGGGAACAAGTGGCCGCCCGTCTCCTCACCATTGCTGTTAATCTTCTTACACTATTCGTAGAATGTGCTTAAATGGACCTTGCTATTTTGTTTATCTCAGGGTTTGTTTTTTAGTAACACCCAATACTCTTTTGGGGATGTTTTCAAATTTTCTCTAAGTGGATTTTATTTTCAGTCTATGTTTACGAAAGTATTAATACAGTCTTCTTTTATACTCTTTACTTGTTTTACGATACATATATCTATTGTAATTACATTTATTCCATGTATAAATATTTTTTGTCTTGAAAATCCTTCTCCGAGACTGCTTACAGTCATTGCCAAATCAACGGTTATGATCACGCCTGTGCGTTTTACTACGAGTAGTATTGTTAACCTTGTATGGAGAAGTCCCAAATGTTCACGTACACGAAGGGCGAGCGCAAGATCATTGGCTACCTGACTGACAACAGTAGCTGGGTCACCCTGACCCCCCCCGTGGTGTCTTTGTAAGCTCACAAAGGAGCTTTACTTTAGCCGTATCCATACTATTGGGAGGTGAGGTGGGTTTAACGTCGCGTCCAAGATTATTGCACTTATATAGCGCGCATGCGTGCGTAGCTGCTTGTACTGGTCCGGACTGACGCCGATATATTGTGCTAGCTTACTGAGAAACCGTGCAACAGTTTAACATGAATACCCAACTCAGATCGTTATACTGACTCCGAGGCGACCAGTCCTTGTTTTATCCCCTTTATGCCGAGCGCCAGACAGGGTAACAACAAGTGCCATCTTGTAACGTCTTTTGTTATGACGCAGCCTGGCATCAAACCCCGGACCTTTCGCTCTCCAGGCGGACGCTCTACCACTAGACCACGGGGGCGGTCTATGTTATCTACGAAGACAGATGATTAACACGACCATTGATCAAAATTTTGTTTAACCTCGGTTTTCGTTTACCGTTAATCCCGCAGCTGCCTGTTGTTAACATTACCCTTGGTTACATGATCACATGTGACTTGTATACCGAGACCAAGGGACACAGGGCAATGAATAGGATCACATGTGACTTGTATACCGAGACCAAGGGACACAGGGCAATGAATAGGATCACATGTGACTTGTATACCGAGACCAAGGGATACAGGGCAATGAATAGGATCACATGTGACTTGTATACCGAGACCAAGGGACACAGGGCAATGAATAGGATCACATGTGACTTGTATACCGAGACCAAGGGGCACAGGGCAATGAATAGGATCACATGTGACTTGTATACCGAGACCAAGGGACACAGGGAAATGAATAGGATCACATGTGACTTGTATACCGAGACCAAGGGACACAGGGCAATGAATAGGATCACATGTGACTTGTATACCGAGACCAAGGGACACAGGGCAATGAATAGGATCACATGTGACTTGTATACCGAGACCAAGGGACACAGGGCAATGAATAGGATCACATGTGACTTGTATACCGAGACCAAGGGACAACAGCAAATTTGTAAATAGAGGTAAACTCTCAGCAGAAAAAAGGACATAATCAATTATACGGGTATTGGTGACCCACTTTCCTATCTTTTCCAATTCGTCTATGACATATAAATAAATTACATCTTTTACAAATATCAGCCAGGTTGTGATGTGTCTATGTTCTCTTACAAAGATCATCTCGCACTAACTCAGGACCAAGTTCATCTCTCATCATATCAACATCTAAATCAAGCCCATTGTGGTTGTCAAATGTGCAATAATCTTTAAGAAGTCTTGTTCTGATCTTAACGTCACCGATCAGCATGACCAGGTCACGTCCATACAGCATGTGCACAACACTGTTTTGAATGTCCTGGACTATATCTTCATATGAATACTTGGGTGACCCAGAGAGCACATACACAACTCCCAGGTCGAGATCACGAGGCAAGTCAAATGGAGATCCTGACAACTTTACCCACAAAACACAGTCCATTTCACTTTCAATCACAGTTATGTGATCTGCATATTCATTTTCCACTGCTATTCATATTCCTCCAGATCTCCTTTGAAATTTGAATCTGCTATGTATGAAAAGTTTATAATTATCAAGTAGTATTTCATCCACAGTATCTGTCTTGGTTTCTTTCAGACCTAAAAGATCATATTTATCCAGAAAATCTTGAAAATCTGGACACTGTTATGTTAATGTGCCTTGTGGTTATTTCTATGTCGCTGTTCACAAGTAGATGTTTCAGTTGTAAGTTCCTGATCACCTCATGCTCCTCCCTATCTCAAGCCTGGTCTGGCTGGAACCTTAGGCAGTGTGGACAGCTCGGGGACTGTATGGAGGGGGTGTAGACGCAGGATACAGGGAGTTATTCACATATACCTTATCTCTCTGGTTAGTTTTCCTTCCTTTACGATGCCGATGTCGTTTTCCCAGGTGCCAGAGCATGACATACCCGGATGATCTCCCCACGACAAGTATTGTGATCCCCTTCCACAACGAGTGGCCCTCTATCCTGCTGAGAACCGTCTACAGCATCATCAACAGGACGCCCAGCCGCCTGCTGAAGGAGATCATCCTCGTCGACGACGAGAGCGACTTAGGTGAGTATCAGAGACTGAACACCAGTTCAACACGGCTGGTATACACTCTACATATAGCATAATCTAGTTGTAGCAGGACTATAGCAAGAAAAATAGTAGGGGTATAGCCGGATATAATAAGAGTACAAAAAGATAATTACCTGAGTACAGCAGGATATAACAGGGGTATAACAGGAATATAGCAGGGATATAATGGGAGTATAACGTATATTACACGAGTACAAGATAATGTTATTGCAGGGCATTCAACTCCCCCGCCATATGTGATGCCTCACAGCTGCATAATTATGATGTTACGGAGGTATGGAATTATGATTTAATGCATGCAAATTAAATATTAGAAAGTGTGGCTTGACTGTACTGCACGGAGGTCCTGCAAAGGTCCTGAGTGAAAGGCCTGAAGCTGCATGATTGTATTTGCCATAAATGAGACAAGGTTGGTGTACAAACAAATACAAAGTACTATTTATAACGGGTCTTTCTCAGTACAGATGCTCCATTTGCGTAGGGTAGCTGTATTGTTTTGAAAAAAGTATATCGTATGACAAGACAGCATTTTTTGGACAAAAATATTTATGTGGAAAAAGAATCAAAACTGCCAACAATAATGGCAGATGCACATGTTCAAATAACATATAATCACATTGTGTTTGCACTTTGCAAAACGAAGCATTGGTTATTATAATGTAAATGCAGATAATAACAAGGGTTCCATATGCCAAAATAATTCGTACACAATGGGAGGTATTTTTTACACAAAAATTAACATCCCGTGCAAATAGGTTACCGGTTGTGAGGTCAGACGTCAACATGGTTTTACCAACTGGTATTTTCTTTGAGGTGTTGGAAGTAGACAACAATTATTCATTTCATGAAAGTTTACAGTTTCAATCTTGAATTATGATTTGAATGTCTCTTAAATATCTTTTCAGACAGTAAATTTCAATGCTGCAATATAGGTATATGTATCTGTAACTGATACATATTATTTAAAATACCATTATGATAATATCCATGAAACTTTTGATAATCTGCATTGTTACATAGAAATTCGCGTTCAACTTGCCAAGTAAGCATCCCCTTCCTACAAGATGTTAAGTGAATGTAACACCCTGCAGCACATACATATTTCCTATGGAGTATCGTGAATATTCATAATGGCAAATATATATAAATCGTTAATAGGTTAATTAAAAAAGCCATAATCTTTTTAGTTTAAAGTAAATGTATATTACTTAAGGAAAATCGTCACACTATAGATGTATCAATGTTTAGACAAGTGTGGGCGGAATGGTTTGTTTTACCTGTGTATTTTATGGTTTTGTTGGCGGAACAATGGTGTCTGAAGGCTGCACCAGGTGATCGTTTGTAGGGGCCGGCCATTTGAAACTCATATGCGTCTGTCTGGGTTAGGGTGTGTCTTCTGTTCTATTAATAAAGCCTGACATTATCTGTATGTTCTATTGATCGAAATTATTAACACCATGAAGGAATATTAGGAGTAATGTAATTATATACTCAGTATAATACTATATTTGTTGTGGTTCCGATTTCGTAAAAGGGGAGAAAACCTAGACATATCTGCATTCAGTGATTTTGCAAGAGAAAACTGATCACAGGACATTTTCATGAGTTTTAAAGGGCATTCTTCTACATTATAACCAAATTGAAATATATCTTCAGAGAATATTTTGGATGCTAATCAGTCAATGTCCAAGAAAAGGAATCTATGTGGAAACCTGGGTATCAATATCCATAGTTGTGTGGGAATATTTTAGTTACACATACACAAATGCTAGAATGTGTTTTCGTGAGCCACAGCAAGTTCACACCACGACATGACGGATACGGAGTTACAATGGCTTAAAGGTAAGCAGTAGTTTTTCGTATCAAATGTGTCACGTTATACAAAACAATACATTTCTAAGAAGTGACCGTGTCAATCGAAAAATTAGTCCTTGAGCAAGAAATGGCATGGGCATATTGAATTAATGAATAAATAGTCAGATGCATTAATTAGCTACATAAAGATGTAGCGTGTCTTAATGCTGGAAACAAATTGCATTAATATTTCATGCTCATACTTTGTATGTTTCGTTTCTGTAACTACGTTGTTTTAAATTTCAATAAACCAAAATGGCGAAATACATGTTATAAAATTAAAGTAACCTCTACCTTTCCCCGCCTTCAGGGCGGGCTTCATAACATGATATGTCTTATACGGAATGTTAACATCATGTACAGCCTGATGGTGAAGTGTACAACTAGACGCTTTAAAAATATTTACCCGTATTTTAATAATGATGACTCCGTCAATAGAATCCGACCTCGGCAATGTCGGACAAGCCCATTTTATGCTGAAGCGGGTATTTCGAGCATATTCTTACACTCCTCACGTCGATTACCTGCACCTCTTCTCCCAGTGACGATTGTCATATGTCTCCCGCTTTGGGATGCGATCGTTCGGCCATCTATGTTGCTCAGCTACACCTATAGGCAACAACTCACTAGACATGCCCGTCTCAAAAATAACGTCGTCCAATATACGACGTCATGAAGTTGCGAGCGAATATTCGAATCTCCAAAAATGACGTCATTATGGAACATTGCTTTATCGAAATAAACCACACTTCGTCTTTTTTCTTTACGATTTATCGCATAGTTACGCGGTAAATCGCAAAGAACAATGAAGAGAGAGGCGTGGTTTATTTCACGATAAAACGTTGTTCTTTTATGGCGTCATTTCTAAATATTCGAACATACGCTCACAGCTTGATGACGTCATAAATTGGAAGACGTTAAGTTTGAGAGGGTAGAGAGTTATCCTACATAGGTGTATCTTGGTAACACACATAAACACAATGGGCGAAAGATCGCATCCAAAAGTGGGCGAGATATTTCAATCTGATTTTGGAGAAAAGTTACAGATAGTCGACGCGAGAATGGTCAGAATATTCAGGAAATACCACACTTACTCACCTGTTCATCAAATGGACCTGTCCGTTATTGTCGAGATGGGATTGTATTCAGGGATTCACCCTCATTTAAATACGGATAAATATTTTTAAAGCTTCAAATCTTTTTATCATCCTTAGAGATGTTGTAATTAATGTTGATATGTTGTGTATAGTACTCGTGGTCGTTGTTTATCGTTCAATAAACACTGCATGGAGAATAAATCACTCGGTCCTGCGCCCCTCATAGTTTATTCTCCCCGCAGTATTTTATTGTATGATAAACAACTCCCTCTCGTCGTTCATTTTTTAAAATAAGAGGAGTATAGCAGGGATATAATATGATCTTGAAGTGAGATTGACAAATCAGAGAGCAGACATACTGAACCCACAGGAGCCCGAATACCGTCAGTAAAAATCCAAGATGGTTGTTACTGGCCTACTATGAGACTGTATACCGTCAGTAGCAGCCATTTTGGATTTTCCAACACCAGCCTCACATATGTCACATGACTATTCTGGTACAGAATTTCGTTATTCGACACTGTTTTGTGTTTTAATATCATTAATTGTGATGTGAAAAGACATTAATTTTTAAAGAATTTACTTTCTTGACTTTATTTATAAAAACTATTACACGCTTACAACGGAGATCACAGAGTAAAAAATAGCAACGCCATATAACAGCCAATGACGTCACATAGCAATAGTATAGATAGCAGCCCGTCGTTAGGGAAAAGCGGACTGCCATCAAGTTACAATGGCCCGCACATTTCTGATAAAATGGGGCACTTTTATGATAATTCTATCCATTTTAGCTTTAATACTTGTTTAAATGCACATTTAGTGCATTATATATTCCATTGTTAACCTTTATGTTTACATTAAAGCGTTGTATCGGTAACATATATGTGCGGGTCCTGTCGTTTATACCGGTTGTAAGCGTCAGGTTTTCATTATGACATGACATGTGCGATGTAGGAACCAAAAACAATAAACTTTTCAGCATAATAAATTCGTTATGGTGTCTTTAATTGCCGTATACCGTGTTATATTAGGTTAGCAGAAAATATTTTACTGCTAACTTAATATGACACCGTATAAGGCACCATAACTAATAATATTATAGTCGTAAAACAGTATATTAATATTACAAGGATACAACGAAAGTGTAACAGTATATTACAAGGATACAATGAGAGTGTAACAGTATATTACAATGATACAATGAGAGTGTAACAGTATATAACAGTGTTATAACAGGAATACAACAGATTATTACAGTGGTATAACAGGAATACAACAGATTATTACGGTGGTATAACAGGAATACAACAGATTATTACAGTGGTATAACAGGAATACAACAGATTATTACAGTGGTATAACAGGAAACCAACAGATTATTACAGTGGTATAACAAGAATATGACATATAATAACAGTGGAATAACAGGAATATAATAGATTATTACAGTGGTATAACAGGAATATAAAAGATTACTGCAGTGGTATAACAGGAATACAACAGATTATTACAGTGGTATAACAAGAATATGACATATAATAACAGTGGAATAACACGAATATAATAGATTATTACAGTGGTATAACAGGAATATAATAGATTACTGCAGTGGTATAACAGGAATACAACAGATTATTACAGTGGTATAACAGGAATATGACATATAATAACAGTGGAATAACAGGAATATAATAGATTATAACAGTGGTATAACAGGAATATAATAGATTACTGCTGTGGTATAACAGGAATACAACAGATTATTACAGTGTTATAACAGGAATATGACAGATAATAACAGTGGAATAACAGGAATATAATAGATTATTACAGTGGTATAACAGGAATACAACAGATTATTACAGTGTTATAACAGGAATATGACAGATAATAACAGTTGAATAACAGGAATATAATAGATTATTACAGTGGTATAACAGGAATATAATAGATTACTGCAGTGGTATAACAGGAATACAACAGATTATAACAGTGGTATAACAAGAATATGACAGATAA